CAGCAGGAAAACTCGCATCACTACCCCTTCACGAAGGTGATTATTATGGACCTTTAGTCGTGGTAGCCATCGTTGCCTCTCTCGCTATTCTATCAACGCTAATCCTCTTGATGATGCTCATGAGAAGACGAACTAGCAGTAAGGCTGACATATCTTCCCGTAAAAGCACGTCGGCGTACGACAATCCTTCCTACAAGGTAGAATTACAACAAGAGACTATGGGTAATTTACTCTCATTGTTTTAATACGATAATCGCGGTCAGCTTTGCTTTACAATGCATTTTGCTCATAACGTTCGTCACGCGTATATTCTAATAGTGTCGAATACCAACGACAAGTTAAATAAAAATTTCACAACTTTGTAGACCTGTGAAGACGCCGTTACAATATCGAATGGTAGAAACAAAAACACAGACCACGAAATGGCCACCATCAACAGCAACGTCAAAGAGACCGCCTAAGATTTTATAATTTATTATATTCTATTTATTTATACGGTCCCTACATCGCTATCAAAAGTATTCCATGTTCAAAGAGAATGATCGACATACTGAAACTTATAGCACAAAGAACGAATATCGCGAAGTACCCATACGATGATTTAAAATACTATGTGTGTGTGTACATGTATGTATATACATATTTTAATATTTTGGCAACAAAGAATTATGATTTTTTCATCGCGTCAATCGTTCAACATGATTCGATCAATAGAATTGCGTTGCGTTGTATTAAAAATTGTACATAGCAGTGTCAAGTAACACTATATCACACTAGATGATAAGATAGCAACTTAAGAGGAACTGAAAATATTGTTTAAATAACTACGAAAGCAAATTCAACTTGCTTTGTAATATCTCCTTATGCATATATTACCAATTCAAATGTGCTTTCTATGTATTTAATATTAATATTTAAGTGATAAATTACACGTAACTTCGTTGAGTCTCAACGATCGAATCGTGTATTGTACAGTCTACACTTATATTGTTAAAAATCTATGTAATAAGATGTACTATTATGTCGTATAAAAAAGTTAAAACCTGAAAGTCAATAAAATTATTTGTAAACTATAGAAAGGAATATTTATTTGTATATCATGTTCTACATGTGTATAATATTTTAATGTTTAATAAGGATTTTTATGCAAAAAATATAAAATCTTATTGTATACCAAAAGAATTGTTATGTTTGTCAATAATATAGAAGATACAGAAAGCATAACAGGAAAAATATTTGTAGTTTATCCTTATAATAATCTTAATATAAAATATTGTTTCAGTAACAATCAGGGTATAATGCTGATGGCTAAAATTGAATCAAGCAGGTAAGGATATACGAAAACTTAAAAATACTTCTTCAATTCGGATTCCATTTCATGAGGATCTGTACTTGGTACATATCTAGAAACAATCTTTCCTTCTTTGTTTATAATAAATTTGGCAAAGTTCCATTGAAGATCATCTGTAGATGATCTACTTGTTTGTGCCTTTAACCATTTCCACAATGGGTGAGCACCATCGCCGTTAACATCAACCTTTTCAAATAAGTCAAAAGTAACATTATATTTCTTGACAAACTCTAAAATTTCTTCAGAAGTGCCTGGTTCTTGAGCAAACTGATTGGATGGGAATGCTAAAATTCTTAAACCTTCTTTTTCACTGTATTTTTCGTATAATTGTACCAGTTCTTTATAATTTCTGTCAGTTAATCCACAACTGCTGGCAACATTAACTATTATACAAACATGTCCACGGTATTTACTAAGGGACACGTCATTTCCATGAATATCTTTAGCATGGAAATCATAAATTGTAGTAGCCGAGTTCCAATCGGTGTCTTGATTGAAAGATGTTAAAGTTACAGCAGAACATTGTTCCTTATTATTATCTTCACAATTTTCTGCTCTGATTCCACCAAAGAACAGAACCATTAAAAACACCAGTTCTATAAAAACAGAATTAATTATAATTAATACATAACCATCTATAAAAATCATTTAAAAAAGAGAATACTATTTAGTCAACTCTTATTGAAAACACATAACAACGTTGTTTTACTTTTTTCAGACATTAGAACTACTATTTCCAAGTTGAAGACAAATTTAAACTACCTTGAGAAAACAAAAAAGAAAAGAAGAGATAAAGAAAAAAGAAACAAAGAAAAAGAGAAAAAGGAAATAAACAAACATAAACTACTTTGCAACTTCTAAACAATTTTACACTAATATCGTGAAATTAACATTAAAAATTAATCTTTAACATTACTTGTAGATGAAATACTTAAAACAGTACACAATCATTGCTACTTACTTTGCATTTTGAATATAATGTTGTTAATTTAATATTTTATTCAACTGACAACCAATAAATTTCTTACAAATCTTTATTATATTAAATTAGATATTATCAAGAAAATACTTTACAAATAATTTGAATTTATTGTACCGGTTAACATAAGCGTCCGTACTCTTCCACTGGTTAAACGCAAATGCGTTGATCTCTCCTTTGTCTAGAATTGATATGACCTCTGTCCAGTTGTGGCCTTGTACCTACAGCAACGTAGATTCTGGAATGCTCGCAAAATAAAACAACAAAATTGTACTTCGCATTTAGTATCTTAAAAGATATTAAGTACTATTCGGTTTATTAAAAAAACTTCTATCCACAACTTAAAATAAAATGTAATATTATATTTGTAATTGATTGTTAAACTGTGTTTATGAATAGCTGATAAATTGTTATAATTACATATTTATTTCCAGTTCTGCTAAAAATATAATAAAAAGTATACATTACAAACACGATTTAATGGTTGTACTTTTTTTTCATCACGACTTGCTCAAATATCTAATAAGAAAATACGTAATTCAATATCAGGATATTTTATTCCTTTATTTCCATTGACCTTAATAAACGCTACTAAAAGTGCACGTGATAATCTTGTTGTTGTATATATGACAACATAACCTTAAAGATACAGTAGAATAATAACCTCTAAACCATGCTCGTTGTTCGGCGTCAATTACAAAATTTAATAGAATTTGATATTACTGTAATATATGACATAAAAAAAGTAAACAATAACATTGTTTGAAATATTATAAACATCTTGCTTGTAAGAACTTAAAAATTCTGCACTTCTAAAACTGCACTGGACTACTTTGTTAAATGTTATTCAAGTCCTGATTCACATAAAAAATGGTAAGTGTAATAAATATTGTTACATTTTACATGAAATTAATTGTTTATATGTACTGTACTAAATTGATATTAATCATTTCAGGCACGAAATGCAGAAAAGGCAATGTAAGTATAAATAGCAAAAATTTCCTTTACATTCTTTGTAAAACTTTTTAATTTAATGTAATTATTTAAATACACAATTTTTATTAGGACCACTCTTGCTCGATGGAGAGCTGCACAGAGCAATGAAGAAGCTAGGAAAGAACAAGAAAGGAGACCATATTTAGCTTCTGAATGTAGAGATTTACGAAAAGCAGAAAAATGGAGAATGCAGATAATAAGAGAAATTGCAAAGAAAGTTGCACAAATACAAAATGCTGGTTTAGGTGAATTTCGTATTCGAGATTTAAACGATGAGATTAATAAATTATTGAGAGAAAAGCGACATTGGGAGGCTCAAATAAAAGAATTAGGTGGACCTGACTATTCTAGAGTAGGACCACGTATGCTAGATCATGAAGGTCGTGAGGTATAACGTGTTTTTATCTCAGTACATGAAGTTGTCTATAAGTGAAGAATAAAATTAAGTATTACAACATTTAGGTACCTGGGAATCGTGGTTACAAATATTTTGGAGCAGCAAAAGAGTTACCAGGTGTTAGAGAATTATTTGAGCAAGAACCACCGCCACCGCCTAGAAAAACACGTGCTGAATTGATGAAGGATATCGACGCAGATTATTATGGTTACAGAGACGATGATGATGGAATTTTACTACCTTTGGAACAGAAAGCTGAACAAGAAGCAAGAGAAAAAGCAGTACAAGAATGGTTAGCACAGAATAAAAAAGAATCAGAGATTGAAGAGGAAATCGAAACGACTGCACAAAAAGCAATACCATCACAGCAAGATATTCAGGAAGCGTTACTTGCAAGAAAAAAACAAGAACTATTAGAGAAATATGTACTTTGACAGGTTTTATTCCTTTTTCTTTATGCATTCAGTAACAACTATTTGTAAGTTTATTCGTTTAATTATATTAGAGTACACTTTTATAAAACGCGACAGATATAATAATTATTATTAATTTATAAGTAATAACATTGATTAAGGTAATTATTTTGTGCAGTAGACGTTCAAACTTCAATTAATACTTATCGAGAAAGAGTGCTGTAGATAAAATATAGATAAAAATTCAACATTAGTCTGTTTATAATCCTCGCGATTCTTAACTTTTTTCTTCTTTTTTTTCTCTTTTTTTTTTAAATATTTTTTCTTTTGTTGACATTATAAGCACCGGACATTCGAGAAAGCGATACAATAGAATAGAACATCAGAGAACAAGACAGTATGAATTATCGTAATGTTGTGAGAATCTTTTCATTGCATACATTCATACTTGCCAAAGATTGTATTTAGATAAATAAAATGTAACTTCATACACTAGTTTAGTCAATACCTTAGGTATCTTTGATTAAGTATTCTTCATTTCTTCATCATTAATTCGTCCCGCGAAAAACCAGTCGTTTGCTTTAAAATAGTTCGATGTAATTACAACTATATCGTAACAAATTCGGAACAGTCAAAGGCATATAGAAATTACCCTGAAAAAGCCCTACTCATTAATTAAGTGTATGTATCGATCATAAATATGTCGAAAACATTCTGTTCTTGTTTGTATCGCAATCAATTCATTTGCGATGAGAAACCAAGTAACTTCTATATCTTTCTCACACACAGAAATCTCTGATCCTCATTCAACATTGTATTGTTTATAAACAGACTGTACAATATACAATTATGTTACCAGGACTCAGAAGTGAGAAAGTATTCTAGTAACGCTAGCTAAAGTCCCGGTGTGTTTAAAACTTTTCTCAAAGTACAGATTCAAATAATTCAACCGCGCATTTTTGTTTCTGCATACTTAACCTTCCGTTGTTTCTCCTCCCTTTCTCGTTTTCTAAACGCACTAACAGTTGGATGACGCATTAACAAACGCAAATGACTACAATATTATCGATTATCGATGATTATACTAAATTCGAAAGCACTAAAAGTACATCTTCGATACTGCATTTCAGAAGAGCATCGTAAGAAGAATATTCGCACATATAATAAGAGAAAATTCATGCAGGTACGTACTGAAAGAAAACTTCTGAGTCCTTGCAATCGTGTTATACATTGTCTAAATACATAAACGAGAGAATAGTTCGAGCATGGATTAATCATCATTAATCACCTAAACACTAAGCTTGAAATAGTCAAGCGTTAAACGATTCACAGCATCTGATATTTTTTTATCCATTAATCAGTCGCCCGTTTCGCCCGGTAACCAATTCTCTCTAATATAAACGCGTGGAAAAACATTTCTACGTACCTATCGTATTCATGATAATGTATACTACTAGTTTAATAGTAATATCAACTCTACGATCACATCTGCATTTACGAGGTGCGTTTTGCGAGTTTATTGTGCGTCGTTGAATTGTAAATTTGTCCTCGTACAAGTTTCCCTCTTTGTCCAATTGATTAACTATAACCCCTCGATGCTACTCATTAATTAACAAAAATCCTACATACACAAATTCATATGGTTAGAGACTATATGTTTGAATATGTTGCAAAATATGTTGTATATCAAGAATACAATAATGATTTCTGAAAATTTGTAGCTTTTAGTCCAGCTTTTTAGCATGCTGTTTCAATGCTACCCAACGTAATAAATGAATATATGAAAATAATAGTATGAAGGAAAAAATTAACAAAGACGCAAATATATAAGAAATTATAAGAATTTTATAGTCTCACATTTCTCTCGAAGTCTTTTCACTGTTTTTTACATTAGAGAAGGATATAGAGATAGATAGATAGATTGATAAAGAGAAAGAGAGAGAGAGAGAGAGAGATAATAATAAAAAGAATGATAACAACAACAACAATAATAACAATATTAATAATAATAATAATAACTAATTCGCACACCAAGGGGTTTTCATTTTCACACGTCAATCCATTCTCGAACCATATGATCGATATACCAATATTTGCGGTATCGACTCGAACGAACAAGCACTGCAAATCGAATATTCCGTTGAAAGTGTCGCGGAATCGAGAGAGGAAAAGTTACATTTGTTTAGCGAACTCGTCCAAAGGAGAACAACTAGAGAATCGCGGTTCATAATGGACTCTCGACTCGGCTGGGTATCCCACGACGATTCTCCGTCGACGGACACGCGGCCTAAAAAGGGTGAAAGGCACAAAGTAAAAAATAAACGATTAAGGTTGGCTCAGGCACATATCGAATCGAAGTCGGTTTCACGGTCCATCTGCTAATGTGTACGTTCGATTATTGGGACCGATAAAATGCGTGTTACATGTTTGTAGTGCATGTGTAATTGAAGTCTGTTGTGCATGTATGCAAGTAAATATATATGTGTGTGTGTGTGTACGTGTGTTTGTATATGGATGGTGTATGTGTCTCGTGTTAATGTTCTCTCTCTGTGTTTTTGCTGGCATATGTAATATACATACGTAATATGTATGTTGAAAACACCCTCAACTCCGTCCGGCGTATCAAAAAGGAATGTACTTGGTACATCAATAGAGTTTTGAACTCAGAGTTACCATGTGCTAAAATTATGACAGCTCTGATTCGCAGGATCAACAGATCGACATATTGACTTCTGTGTTCTGTTCGGGCAGTACAGACGGCATCCAATAGAGAGCAGCCGTTCGTCTTGAAAAATTCAGTTGCTTTACTATACGATCAGTCGTACATCACAGTACGCAATGAGCGGGCGTTATATGCATCGTATTCTCCCAATCAAACCATATCGTTATTGTTAACGTAAAATGTTTCTCCGTAACAGGAACTCTTTCGTGATAAGATGTTTCAAGGACGTAACAGCGAATGCCAGCGTTGAATTTGTGTCGGCTGCCTTGCTGCACGCATATCGTTCCAATGTTGAAGCTCCTCCGAGCCGGAACTGTTTAGTCCTAAACTGAGCCAACCGATCATTTCTCTTCCTTTTCTTCCCATTCCGCCTCTTCGTCGATTATAAACCGACAGAAAGAGCGTTACATCTCCAAGTTGGAACAGAGCAACCTAAATAAAGTGTTGAATTTAATTGAATTAATGAGAAAAAAAAGTGGTGGAAAATAAATATATTTGGCTCGTAATGAAGATTGAGCATACCTGGAATATGAATGTCTCCTTGTACAAAGGATTCGGTTGTGCACGTTTCAAACCAGTTTTCGATCGCTCCATTTCATGACCATTACTATCCACGAGAGCAAGCTTAACATACGTATCAGGTGGTTTCGTATCGTTTCCACCACCACCCCGAAAATGAGATCCTTTGATTATTTCTATCGATAAACGTCCGGTCGTCCCATTACACGCCAAGCCTATAAGAATCTCTGCCACGCTTCCACCCTTCATACTACTGCCGTATGGAGGTACAGTATGCGACGCGCAAGTTGGCACACATGCAGAAGGTGACGCGTACGATTGAACCGATTGCTGAGATCCCGTGGAATCGTTGCGTGTCAAGCTACTAGTTGTTCCCCAATCTTGTACCTTGAAGATCATGTTTATTTCGAATATATACTATCTTCTTAAACGTTGACAGAGCGAAAAGAAGAATGTCGATAGATTACCGAAGAAAAAGGTGGTGGTTGTAACGTTAACCAGAGTGTAGTTTCAAGCTGAAGATTGATCTGATCGAAGGAGACCCTGGCTTCGCCTAGTAATCTCTCTCGACGCATTCTTCCGCTCCATAGATACACTCTTAAGCGTACACCCATGGCATTTACATCTTCCGGATTTACGCGTGGAAGTAGGAAACTCTCCATGTACTGAGGAGACGTACCCTGGCGTACACGAGTTTTACGTCGTTGCTTCTTCGATGGTAATAGCACTAATCTCACTTGACTACCGCCTATACCTTCAGGATAATTTCTTCCTTGTAGTACATGAACCTGTAACAAAGCAAATCTGTTAATTTCCATTGCAATTTTAAATAAATCTTCAAATCAAATTCACACGAACTGTCATCTCACGCATCGGTGCATCATATAGGAAAGCGACCTCCAAGCTACCCACTTCTTCGGTAATAGTACCCATCGTTGTAATAACATCGTTGGTAGTCGATCCATTCTGCTCGACTTCTACTTCTTGTTCTCTGCTATCAAGAATGATACCGGAGGATCCAACTTCTACTACGCACTGTGAACCAAACATGATCATTGATCGTTGGGGCGTAAACGGAACGATAAGAAAATGAAAAGAAAAACATTTACGAAACGATTCGGTAGAAAAAAAAAAGAAATACAATAAATAAGATCATCGTAGATATCGAGACGATGTACAGAACATCGATGATATTATACGGTTGGAACGTTGTACAATAAGAAATGCATACGGATATCCAAGAATCGATTAATTTATACAGTAACCGCATTGACACATGGTTTAGAGATTTCCGTGTCTTTTCATTCACCTGTTGTTGATCAGTGGGCGAGTGGTCATCTGTGCAGCTGCTGGAGGTAGTACCGGCATCTGAAAATGAATACACAGAACAGTTAGAACGGTATAAAATGGACAGAAAGAAAAAGGAAAAAAGAGAGAAAGAAAAATAGAAAGAAAGGCAAGACTAACCTACAATTGTTGGTCCATCCTCCGCTTGGATAGTCAAAGTATCCGGCGGTGGATGAGAATGTGAATTCAATCGACGAAGGACATCCTCTTCCGAGTCGGAACTAGTCTCTGGATCCGAATAGGGAAATGCCTTTCCTGCCGAGTTTCATTTTCAAATCGAACATTAAACCCAACTTTCGTTAGGTTCGTTTAATTTCAGGTACAAAGTAGCTGATAACGATCTTTGAAAGGACTGGAAGCGGGGATCACATATAGAAAAACTGCCTTGTTTTGGAAAATTATACATCGATATAATTTCCCAGCAGTTTCAACATTGCAAGCACAGGATAGGATTATGTGTCAACCTACCTATGTTCTTCGCAATTTGAGAGGTAGAGCCATTGTTAGACTCGCAGAGAGGCACGCAAACGCCGCCGAAAAGCGTGGTGGTAGATGGTGGCGTGAAGCACCATTTGCGTGACAGGTACAAGAACAAAGCCAACAGGAGGACCACGAAGCCGGCAACGGCACCCAGAAATGCTGTCGCTTCCACAGGTACTGTAAAGTCGATCGATCGTAAGAACGACTGGTTAGAATAAAGTGCTGTATATTGTTTATCGTCCGACGAATAATCGAACATAAATGAAAGCGAGATATATCGAATTAAGAAAAAGATGGAAATTAAAAGAAAGAAAAGAGAAGACAAAACTTGAGAAAAAAAATATGTGATGAAAAAGATTGGGAGAAAGATTCCGTAGATACAAAAAAACGTGATCAAAAAGGGCACAGTCAAAGCACAAGTTATTTATTGACCATGGAGAAAGGCGTTCACCCATACACCGATTAAATCTTTCTCTCAACCGGCGGTTTTACGTGCCGTCGATGTATCGAACGCATTAAAACAGCAGCGACACATTACGTCGTAATGACCTGGAATAATTAACCAACGCTTCGCTTATCACGCAAACCACTGTCCGATATTGCGCAGCAAATACACTTAATGATTCGCGATATCCAGTTCCTGCGAAACCCGATCCTTCCGTCAACTGTATGATCCCTCCTAAGAGAAACGACTAGTGAAAATGTCATACTTGTACGGTTACTAATGATCACTTAACTTGATAAGTCGAATTATATTCGGTTTCTAAATTATCATAAATCAAATTACAACGTATTATTATAATTCGTTCTTATTTAGTAAGAAGAAATAAGAAAAAAATAGGTAAGGGATTATTCAAGGCGATGCATTTTTAAATAATTTTAATTTACGCAATGCGGAAACTGTTTCATGCATTCACATTTGGATCATTTTTAATTAATCGAAAATAATGATATTCGTAGAACATTTTATAACTTAAGGGCTTAGTAATGTGTCAAAAGATAATTGTTTCACCGCTATCGAAAATCAGTTTCATTGAAAATTTGAACAGTTCGAAACTTGAAACTATTAGAAACACAGCGGTTTATTTAGGTGATAATTAAACGATAAATGATGCACCAAAGAACGTGTGTTTCGTTTAGATTTTGCTAACTCTATTGTTAAGAAATACTATCTGTTAACGACTCAATTTATTCCCATAATTATTCTTATTTTGAGGTTAACGTCTCCGTCTCAAGGTGTGATAGATTTGATTTAAATAGGTGAATTTATTAAAAGAGTAGACAACGTAAAAGATAGTGGACTTACCCGCCAGAAAATGGTCTGATCCTGCCAGAATCATACTCGCCCTTGTGTCACATGAAAATCTTCTTATGTTGTTCTATTCAGAGACCACGACAAGTTTTTCGCGAATAATGAATTCATTATCTACACGATATGAGATTATCCAATACTCGTGGTTGTTCGCGATCACTAAGAAACGTGGTTACGAGGTAGTCGAATAATAATACGTGGGCGGGGATGTACACAGCACTCTGTTGCTCGTTGAGTCGTGCGCCTGCAATACCTTGACCAGTTATACGCATGCGCTTTACGGGCACGCATTCTTACAATGAGAATTTCTTTCAACAGGGATTCTCATTTCGAAATCATCTAAATAAAACTCGCAGTAAAACTTTTATATTATGTATTTTACACTATATATTCGAAATTTGTTTGTTGATTAAAATAGGATGTACCATTTAAGATATAAGCTAATTAAAAATTGAATAAAATTTTGCGCTATTTTTAAAAAGAAAAATTAATTTGTATGTCTTAAAGATTGAATATTATACATTAAATATTATATTAAATATGAATTTTAAAGCAAGTTAAAACTACGTAATCAGTTTTAATTATAAACGGTATAGTATACAATTAATATTTTTACGTAAGAATTTGAACATAGATGTTAAAAAACGATGATGGTTCTCATTATTGACAATCAATATGTTATAAACATATCGTCTACTAAGAAAGTAGAAATACTTTAAGAAATTGAATTTTCCTCGTTCTTGTTCTTATGTACATATTTCAAATATACGACATATCGATTTTATCGTATTTTATTAGTTGAAACAGAATTAGTATGAGTTCGTAGTACCTGCTAAAATTTATCAATAAAATTAATTTTAATTAACTGGTGTTCAAGATTATCCAATTCGGTTATAACTAATTAAATGTAATTTTAAAACATAAAGATAATCAATAAGAATGATAAGATTAGTCGTGTAATAAAATGTTTTTATTTTGAAAAGTCCGACAGTTTCATTTCTTTTATTTTTTTCTTTTTTTTTTGGTATATACGAGAGTAAAAAAGATATTTAACTTGATAGAAGTAAACTTTGCATATATGAATTAATGACATAACCTGAAAAATGAAATTTCATTAGTGTAAATCCAACCACTATATTTTTTTATTTCAATGTTTCTATAATTATTTGATTCAACTAAGTTTGTTATAAAACAGTTTATTACAATACGGATCTTATTTTAGTTTCTTATCAATAATTCTCGTTTCCAAATAAATTTAAATTTTACCAAAAATAGTATTATATTAACATTTATTTGGTTCATGCTATACGTAATATACAATTTTCATGTAACTATAATAAAATAAAATACGTATAAACAAATAAACTATAATTTTAATGATTTTAAAAGTTATTTAATTTTTCTCTTCACATTATTCTAAAAACAGGTATAAACAGTTATGAGTCATTTTATGATATTATACTTCAAACAATCAACTATATTAAATAGATATTGGTTAAAAAAGTGTTTGAGACAATGTTTTATATACCATGCAAGAGTGTACTCTACTGGAATTGGAAAGCATCATAAAAATTATATTACCAAAAGAGAAAATGTTGCTCGAAGGAAATCATTAAGATTACAAGTGCTTCGAGGTATTAAACAAACTAAACAGAAAGTGGGAGGAATTATCGAGAAAGAAAACATTTGGACAATACCAAATTTTCTTTGTATAGGACGAATCTTAACGTCACCATATTTAAGTTACTCAATTTTATCACAAGACTACCGGGTAAAATATCATATATTTATTATTTATAATATCTATTTGTTATATAATGTTATCTTGTAAGTAATTATGTGTATATAATATTACTTTTTATGTTACAGATAGCACTGTATGTGTTAATAATTGCAGGATGTAGTGACCTAGCTGATGGATGGATTGCACGTACATGGATATCGCAAGCTTCTAAGCTTGGTAGCTTTCTAGATCCAGTTGCAGACAAATTGCTTGTAGGTACACTATTTCTATCGTTGGCCTGGGTAGGATTGGTCCCTACACCTTTAACATGTCTCGTCATTGCAAGAGATGTTGCTTTGATTTCAGCTGCTTCTTACATAAGATATAAATCTTTACCTTTTCCAGTATGTATAGATTATAGCATTATAAATAAATAAATAAATATTTTAATGGTCACTTATTTATTAAATATGTTTCAGAAAACTTTGGGCAGATATTTTGATCCTACATATGCAACAGCACAGTTAGCTCCAACATATATAAGTAAAATCAATACCGTCATACAATTGTCTTTTATTGCTGGAACATTAGCTGCACCTGTATTTCATTTTGTAAATCATCCAATTTTAGAAGTTTTATGTTATATAACAGCATTAACAACATTAGCAGGTGGTATAAGCTATTTGACATCAAAAAATACATATAAATTATTTAGAAAAAAATCTTCAACAAAGTCTTCTCATTAAGCACATATTACACATGTCTGACTATAACAATATTATTATTTCTAAACTTATTATTTACTTCCTATAGTAATATATACAAATCAAATTAATAAAAATACTATTTTAAATTTATAAGTAATTCATAAAATAAAAAATTATTCATATACGTTTTCTAAGTACTTTATACTCTTCATATGCAAAAGTTTCAAATAGATTTGTATTATTGGAAACTGCAATGTAATCAATTTCTAATCTAAAAGGTCCTGATTTTTTATCAGCAACTGTAATTCCAAAATTTTTCACACTACCAGCCATCATACGAAATTGATTCTCATAGATTTCCCCTTTTAAACTTGCCAAAAATTTTGAAAAAGGGATTCTAACTATTTGCCAATACGGACCACCTCTTGTATAGACAAAGTAATGAAAACCCAAATATCGTGTTATATCAATTAGTGGCTCTGGTAAGATATTTAACATGTAACATCTACCATCTCCTCTGATCCTCAAAATAAGTTCATTATATTGATACCAATTATAGAAATCTAGTCGTTTAAAAGATTTTAATTTTGGTACTGTAGTGATATTGCAATAACCACTATTCGTTGTTACACCATCTTTAGGTATACGTGTATCGAGTACGCCATGAAATATTCCAGTACCATAGGTTGACAATTCTAATCTGGAAAAATGAAACATTTTTTTATATTAGTTTCTTTTGTGTTTCTTGAAATATAACGGTATACAAAATATTACATAATTACTTAGCAGTCGAATAACCATGGTGATAGTCCCCATCACAATTTACAATCCATTGATCCAATGGCTTTTCAGTTTCACGAAATTTCCATATAATATTAGTTTTATCCGTTATAATTTCAGATTTAAATACTGCATTTCGAATTTCTTCGATAAATAATTTACATTCGCCTTTAAATTCTTTACGTGCTTTCCGCACTTTTTGTAACAAACTCAAATCTTCAGATTTTTCATCATGTACCACGGGATAACCTGATCTAGGTTGGTCAAAGAATGTTCTTTTAATAATCAGAGAATTTGTAGAGCGTGGTTTCAATGCACGAAAAATAACTTTTTCCATCTTTTGCACAATTAAATCGAAATTATAACTTAACTATGTTAAAACTTATATATTGACGGAGGAAGAACGAAAATTCAAATCAATGTGATGTTATGAAAAAATTTATATAAAAGCTGTAGTACAGTTCTATTTAAACTGCAAATTTCCCATTTAATTAAAATTAAATTTTTATATTTTGTTCTTTTTCAACTACTACTTTTAATAAATAAATTGTAAAGCACAAGAATAACTAAAAAATATGACGTATACGGTTCCTATTTATTTATACAAATACGATTTCTATTCTAAATAAGAATACTCTATTCTATTGTAAATTTAATAGATATCTTTTACTAATACAAAAATATAAATATTCATGTAATTCAATAATGCACTTAATACAAAAATCACTATACAGTAGAATTCGTTTTGATAAGTGATGGTGATTATAAGTATATTGAAAGTAAACTCGGTATAAAGATGGTGTTATTTAGGCGCAATAGGTTATTAAATAGGAAAAATTTAGCTCTTTTACGTTTGAAAAACTGTGACAAAAATGGAAATATATTTCACGTTAAATTTATGTCAAGTGATCCTACAGAGATAAACGTGCAATTGTCTAATGGGTAAGAATATCACGTGTATTTTAACCTATACGCTAAAAGGATATATTTATATTTTGATATTTAGTACTATAAATATATATACATATAACTAGTGCAATAATGTAATATAGAAAATATTCAGTTGCTTAAATAAATTACCTTTTTAAGCAGATTATTTCATATTTATTATTATTTATTTCAACCATTTTTTCAGGTCAAAAATGACTCTATCAACTGGGAAATATGCACGATTTACAAGTGCAAGTGTTACTGCTACGATAGACAATACCACAGTTATGACCACAGTAGTCAGAAAATCCGTACCATCTGATAATTCGATAATTCCATTGACTGTAAACTATAGACAAAAAGCTGCTGCAATAGCCCGTATACCAACAAATTTTCTTCGTAGGGAAATGGGCTATACAGATAATGAAATTCTTATTAGCAGGATAATAGACAGATCTGTACGTCCACTGTTTGATTCAAACTATTCCTATGAAACGCAGATAGTATGTAATTTATTAGCCACTGATGGAATTATTAATCCAGATGTGTTATCCATTAATGCTGCATCTACAGCTTTAAGTATTTCGGATATACCGTGGACTGGACCTGTAGCAGCTGTTAGAATTGGCTTAATTGACGATAAATATATAATTAATCCTACAAAGAATGAACTTCAACAAAGTAGACTAAATCTTGTTTTGTCATGTATATTCAAAAAATCAATTGTTATGATAGAAGGATCAGCTGATGATTGTTTGGAGTCAGAACTTCGAAAAGGAATAAAAGTAGGTGTTAAAGAATGTGAATTAATTTTAAATGCTATAACACAATTACAAAAATGCGTTGGCAAATCTAAATTACAAATTGTTGAAGATGATGAATCGATGAAAAATATGAAAAATTTTGTGACAGATTTTGCAAAGGATGAGTTAATTGAAATTTTCAGTTGCCATTCTCACGACAAATTGTCACGAGATAATGCTATTTTTAGCCTTAGAAGTAAAATATTAGCAAGTATAACAAATACTGACCCAAATTCTGTTAAAAGTGCTATAAAAGTTTTTGATGAACTTTGTAAGATAACTTTTAGAACTTTAATATTTGAAACAAAGAAAAGGTAGTTTTTGTTTATGATACAAATATTCACAAAAATTATTATTTGGTATATACATTAGATATAAAGGATTAAACCAATTTTAGATGCGATGGTCGTAAGCTAGATGACTTGAGGGATATAAACTGTGATGTTGATCTGTTTAAACCTCTTCATGGTTCTGCTCTTTTTCAACGAGGACAAACTCAAGTTTTATGTACAGTAGCACTTGATAGTATAGAAAATTCTCTTAAATTAGATGCCATCTCAATGCTGTCTAGGTAATTCATGCATAAATATTTTACAAATGTGTATTCAACATGAATAGATACAAATTTTGGAACTTGCAGTGGGATAAAAGAAAAACATTTTTTTCTTCATTATGAGTTTCCTCCATATGCTGTGAATGAAACAGGTATTCTTACTGGTGTTAATCGTAGAGAAGTTGGTCATGGGGCATTAGCAGAGAGAGGACTACGAGCAATTATACCTAAAGATTATCCATTTGCTATAAGATTGACAAGTGATGTACTAGAATCAAATGGTGAGTTGCTTAAATGTAAAAGTAATCATTATTTTTAAAGAAGATAATTTATAGCTTAAATATTTTTTTGTGTTACTGAAAGGTTCATCTTCTATGGCATCTGTTTGTGGCGGTAGTTTAGCATTAATGGATGCAGGTGTGCCAATATTATCTCCTGTTGCTGGTGTAGCTATGGGATTAATATCCAGATATAACGATGAAGAGAAGACTGATATTGAATATGAGATATTAACTGATATATTAGTAATTTCATGTTTTAACATACAAATATAATTTATAATACAAATATATTAATTCTTGATTTTTCGTATTTGTAGGGTATAGAGGATCACTTGGGCGATATGGATTTCAAAATTGCAGGTACAAAAAAAGGATTTACCGCTTTTCAGGCTGATATGAAAGTCTCAGGAGTTCCTTTAAAGGTTATCATGAAAATGATTGAACACGCAAATATAGCCAAATCTAAGATAATTAAAATTATGAATCGAACGATAGCTTGCCCAAGAATAAGAAGCAAAAGTAATAGTCCTATAGTTGAAAAGATAGAAGTGCCAGTGCATCAAAGAGGAAAATTTCTTGGAATTGGAGGATCAAATGTAAAAAAGATTCTGTATGAAACTGGAGTAAATGTAAGCTTAAATATCAAGAGAAATTTAAAGCAATTAATATATTATAGAAATTAATCTGCTAGATCATTTCCATTTTTAGATTCATTCGGAAGATGATAAAATGTTTACTATATTTGCACCTAATGAAGTTGCAATGAAAGCAGCCAAGGAAATGATAGACATATCTCTGCAAAAAGATCCAGAACCAGTGTTGACATTTGGAGATATTTATTCAGCAAAAATAACTGAAATACGTGAAACTGGGGTCATGGTTATATTGTATCCTACTATGGTACCAACGCTTTTGCCTAATTCACAATTAGATCAACGTAATATTCATCATCCTAGTGTACTCGGATTAAATGTTGGAGATGAAATAAAAGTGAAGTATTTTGGACGCGATCCAGCAAATGGACGCATGAGATTATCTCGAAAAGTGTTGCAAAGTATAAATTCTGAACAAAATGTTAACTTTTTTGATAAATTGAAGCAATAATTGTTTAAAAATTTTTTTTATATCTTTTTAGAAGGCAAATGTATCGTTTACTTATTAATAACAATATTAGTAATAAAAAATTCTTTTATATAATTGTTTTATTATTTCGTATAAAATATTTATTTATAGTATCATTGGACAATAAATGATATATTATATATAATATAAAGTACACAAATATTTATCATTTATACATAATTAACGTTGAAAGATTTCTGACTTTTTTTTACTGTATCTTCCTTTCTAGTAAACCATTCTTTATTTATTATATCGATAAAACCTGAAATTTGTTCGAATTCTTATTCAACTTTTTCAAGATGAAAATGCATGCAATTTCAACGATTTATTACCCGGAAAATGTCATACATTTGAAGAAATAAGACAACATAAGTGCAATATATTTATACATCAAGTTATTTAAAACTCTTTTTGTCATTAATATTATAACGTTACAATATTAACGTATATTGGAAGTACTCAAATATCAGGATATGAAAAATGATTTCACGTTTCCTTTACCGCTATGTTTTTAAACGAACATCTAGTTTTGTTCTTAGTGTCGTTGTCGTCTCCGTATTCTTCGAAAGAGCTTACGATCATGCTTGCGAAAGCATTTTTGAATGGATAAACGAAGGAGTACGTTATCAATTTTTTCTGTCAATTTAATTATAAAATGCCATACAAATTTTTGAAGATTTTGTACACGTAATGATAACTCAAAAATAAATATGTTCTAATTATATTCTAATATGTTCTAATGTTCTAATTTTGTATCGTTTATGTATATATGTACTTAAAAGGTTACTCGTTTAATATGTTTATTTTTTATGATTCTTGATGTCTACTGTAATGACTGAGTTTTCACACTGTGTAATTAAAGTTTATGCTTTCGTGTCTTCTACGCAGAGGCTTTGGATGCACATAAAACACAAATATAAGGAAACACCACGGATACTGAATTATCAACGTAGTTCTGTTAATGAAAGTAAATCCGATTCACAAGAAATATCCAACGAGATCACGAAGAAGAACTGAATGTCTCGTACTACAAAGAAATTATAGCTAAATACGAAAAAGAATAATTATTTATAGAAGTATTTATTTCCTGTATTCATTACGTTCACAGTGGAATGTTTGAGTTACTAAGTTTCACATCATGTGCCGCGATATTCGATTTTATCTTATCATAAATGTAGCATTATTCGCATTAAAAAATACAAAAAGTTAATATTTGTTGTATTTTATGGAAAAGAATACATGGTACCTTAACATATCGTTATTTAAAACGAATAATTTTCTTTAAATGTTACGATAAGGAATACCAAATAGGATTGCAAATAATTCACCTATTTGTGAAAAAGTATCTAACAAAGGTGTTAGTTTTTTAATTTTTGTGATCAGTTGGTAACTTACACATTTTGTTAGGTTAGAGAAGTTTATTTTCTTTCTATCCTTTTCGTTCATCCTGAATTCGCGAAATACATTTTAAAAATTGTGGAAAGAAGAATTAATGAAGGGAAATTTTTTTCACAAACTCAGAATAAAAATGAGACTTTCTTCGGCATCGGAAAGAAAAAGCCAAACTCGAAGATTGTCCAAGAAAATTATCGGCAAAATTTTAAATGCGTTTCTATCAAACCGGTGCTTTGGAAATTTTACCTATTATGGTTACTAGATTAACCAATCTCTGTGAAACGTTATATATAAGACATGTATGTACATGAACCTTTAGTTTTCAAATCAGAATTGCATTATACAGGGTGTCCCAACAGTGGTAGTAGAAAAGCGTGATTCTACGTGAAAAAATAAATCGAAAATAAAGAATAAAATTTTTTCATTTGAAGCTTCGTTGTCGAGAAAATCGACTTTGAATATTCATCGAGTACGCTGATATACTGATGGTCCATGCATCTTAGCCAAAGTTAAATGCACGCCTACCCGGTGAATATTCAAAGTCGATTTTCTCGAAAACGAAGCTTCGAATCAAGAAATTTTATTCTTTTTTTTAAATTCGTTCCTGTATGCAGAATAACCCCCTTCCTTATTGTACATTACTGGGACACCCTGTATATATGTGCAACTATAATTTGCAATAGTCTTTCGTTATCGCCAGCAGAAGTTTGAAATTTCATCATAGAATGATTTCTATGAATTTTCTAATTGTACGTGATTATTTTTCTCTTGTTCTATTGATTCCGATATGAAAGATAAGATCATACAGACATAGACATTTTAAATGGATACCTCGATATGATACGCAATCTAAAATGATAAACTGTGAAGGGGAAGTAAGAATAGTAAAGGTAACAATATGAAAATTTGCAGTCTTTTAACGAAAAATGTACTCAAATATCTCTGCAAAATTTTCCACACTTCGATGTATAGTGATCCTATAATTTTTCATCCACCATAATCGTGGCAGAAATAAAAAAAAGATACTGAATTTCTCTTTTTCTTTCCTTTTTCTTTTAAATACACGCATCCATAACCCAAATTGCCAAATATTTATCTCCGTCTTCATTAACCCATAGGCCAAGCCGAATCGTTTTCGAATCCGGACATAGAAAGATAAATATAAACGTATCTAACGAAATGACAGATATGTACTACATATGTAAGCTTTCTTACAAATTTTCGTTCGGATGCGGACATAGAAAGATAAATATAAACGTATCTAACGAAATGATAGATATGTACTACATATGTAAGCTTTCTTACAAATTTTCGTTCGGATGATCTATTTAATTCGCCATCATGTTGCAAGCATAGTAGCAAGCGCGGGTTAACGATCTGCGATTCACAAGCTTACTTTTTACCGTTGTCATGGCAAGTAATTGGATACCGTAGCTTTTCTATGTTTATCCGTAACAGTGGTTTGAAACTTGGGACTCATCTCTTCTTGCTCCTCCCGCTTAATTGTCGCACGTTTTGCCCGCTTATCCGTCGCCGGTTTATCCCGCAGCAATTTCTGCAACTGCTTTGGCTTCTTTCGTGCATTTTGCTCATAATGAGTCTTCCTCTTTCACGTTTCGCAGGATTCAGTGAAGCGAGCGCAATCGAGAAGGAGATCGAACAATTCTCGATCCTGTCCGAATAACTGTCGCGTCACGGACCCAGATGTGCGACAATTAAGCGGGCCCCGCCGCATCGATGGAGACAAAAGAGGACCGTAAAGATCGTAAGCTTTTCTTTAGTCACGAATACGTGTAATTTCTTGATCTTATCTGTAATTACCGGAGTAACTGATACGTTTTACAGCAATCAATAAATCCGTACACTACAAAAGATGACGAAAGCACTCTTCGTTACATATATAAACAATTCTGATGATTGTTTACGAGCAATGCAAGATAAACGGCGCAAGAGAGTGTTATATTTCGAAGTGCCCGAGGAGAAACATCGTATAGAGAACATTCATAAGCGCAAATAAATCGAAGGAGTTATCGTTACATTATACTTTGACGAAATCGTTCCAAAGAATTAGGTAAGTACTATTACCATCTATTCTTAACTCGATCTGTATCGTCGTCCCGTTTCAGCCGAACCATGTAACATCTTTCCTTCTTATTTTTGTCATCCATTGTTCGTTTGTAGTGACACTAACGAGTCAAGTATTTCAACGATTTGCTAGTATAGACGATAGTGAAAATTTGTGTTTTACTTTCAGCAATCTTCGAGGCACGATGTTGTTAATCAGCCTTACAGTAGCGTTAACCTTCTCGCCATTCATCGTTCTTGGAGATATCGTACCAATCACAGATGCATTTGATGTCTGTAAGAATGAAACTCTAATATTAAATACATATGATACTATATCATTTCAAGAAAACTCCATTACTTCCCCTTCGTTAAGATGCATACAATTGGGGTATCGCTATGCGTATTTTAGCGATGGAACGTTCAGTAACGTGCCAAATTTATGGTACCTTGATCTCCAGCACAATCAAATCTATCCAGATAGTTTATTCTCTTTCGGAAATCTTCCAAATGTGAGAATTCTAAGTCTCGGTAATCAAAAAATTTACAATCGGGACACATTAGTGATTAAAAGACTATATCCTGAACTTTGGTACTTGAATTTACAATATGCTAATATCTATGATATAAGAAGTACGTGGAGTAATCCTTTCCCCAAATTAACACATTTGGATCTCTCGGGAAACCGCATTAAAACATCTGACCTGGAAATATTTCCTGACACGTTAACGTATCTTAATCTAACTGATAATTATATCTCGCAACTCTCGTTCCCAAAGTTTAGCAATCTGACATCGTTAATATTAGACAACAATATATTAAGGGGAATAGGTGGTTGGTACGACCTTGATTTGAATGGTCTGCGGAAACTGCAGAATTTATCGGTAGCGAACAATGAAATTAGGTGGATTTCTGTCCAGGATGCAACAAATATTCGATATTTGAATCTCGCTCAGAATTCTTTATCGAATATTGATTATAATGATTTTCGGTCTATGAAATTGTTAGAGGTTCTTATTTTAGATAACAATTTATTCTCACATGTACCTTCTATGTCTCTAAACATAACTACGCTTTCGTTAAATTGTAACAGTATAAGGTATCTAAATGACAACCTCTCTAACTTGCCATATTTAAGAAAGTTATTCCTGAACGGGAATAACATTACGCATATTAATGAGAATACTTTCGACAATCAAGAGCAGTTAGAAGAATTACACTTAGCTGATAATCAATTAACGTACTTGCCACCGAACTGGAGTCGATCTATGAAGAATCTTCAAAATCTAGTTTTATCTGGGAACAAATTCACTTCGTTGAATTCGATAATTCATAGTGCTGATTTGCCTATACGACAGCTGTATCTTGATCGCAACCCCATTTTGTATCTAAATATCAGTACCTTCCAAATAATACCACAACAGATCATAGTTTACTTGAATATTGGATCAGAATCTAATGAAATTTCATGTACACGTCCTGGATCAGATGTGTCGACTACGCCTGAGTTATCGACTACTTCTCCATGGACTTCGAGTAGTAGTCCATGGTGGTCGACTACATATAGTTCATCGACGACTTATCCATGGTGGTCGAGTAGTCGTCCATGGTGGTCGACTACATACAGTTCATCGACGACTTATCCATGGTGGTCGACTACATACAGTTCATCGACGACTTATCCATGGTGGTCGATTATGTCTAGGAATAAGACAAAATAATTTTTTTAAGACCGTTTCATCTTAAGTAGTGCGTATAGTAGTATTTAACGTTGTACGTATTAGATGTAATTCCCTAGTATTGTTATGCAAATAAATATATTTCAATTGTAAAACGGAAAAGCTCATGCTGCATTGTTTTATTTTTATTGTTCTTTCCTTGATCACAAAATTAATCGAATTAATTTAAGTCTTTAATATAAATATACAATCTTACGTTCTATAAAATTTTCTCAAGGCTCAGAGTGGAGGGGGGACTAATAAAATTTAGGAAAAAGTAATTGATAACATAGCCCAACGAATTTTTATATTGTCTCAAATATGTAATATCGATTAGATAACACTTGTAGAGCTTACCGTTCCGAATACGAATCCGAAAACGAAATTGCTCCATCACCACTCGGTTTTCGAAAAATATCGTTTCGAAGAAATAGTTTCTCTTTAAACGCACGATTTTTCATTGAAATAAAGGATCACTCGAAAACTGAAAAGGTTAGGATGTTCATTCTTATCTTAAAAGTTAAATGAGAATTCCATAATCATAATTTGTGCTTTTGAATAACTGCAACTTGTCATCCAAGTTTCAATACAAGCCGCCAACTGTACTTACGTAAGTATCTTTCATGAGTAATTCATAAATAAGATGGCGGATGAAGACATAATACAGTAGAGATCTCCGTTTCCCTACTAAATATTCACGTGAAGAATAAATGTCTCATAACGTATAGAAGAGGTGCTTCATTTCAGTGATTGTATCAAAGAAAAATAATCACAGCGAGAGTTTTCGTTGTTCATTGATGGACTGCTAGCGTGAACCCTTTCTGGAAATTCATTACCAAATATTATTTCTATTTTGTCTAAATTTTCCTATGACTAAATGGTAACCATTATTACCGACAAAAAGTGAGAGAGTAAATATGGCGGGTTATTCGAAAGACTTTCCTGCGCAACGGTTTTCATTTTACCTCTACTTGTTTGGCTCGAGAAGATTGGCCACCCTTCAACCATCTGGCCAACGGCGAATATATGTATTATCTCCGAAGTATGAACAGTCTGAAATGCTTATCGTCGCCACACTATAGCGACCGCCTGAGTAATTACCTGCATTACAAATACACGTGTCAACGAAAACCGATTATGGCACTTTCCATACAGGAGTGGAGAAGCGCTATCGTTCCCCTTGGAATACTTCCCTTTCCAGATTTGCTAAAAAAACATTGGCAAATCTGAATCCATCATAAGTGCCCTTGTCAATGTTTATGGTGGATTTGTTCTTCCTCGCAGCAATCCCATTGCACTGCGGGTGTCCTGGCTGGAATCAAATTATGTTTTATTTTATTTCCATTTAACCAAACCTGGAGGTCTTGTCCCACAAACTCACCTCCATTGTCGGTGCATGTAAGTACTTTTCAATTTCTTGACAGATTGATTTTCTTTCAATGTCACCATTATTTTATTTCCTCAGCTGTCTGACCCTTTTCCTGTACAAGCAAGACAATAATCACTCTTCAATAATCATCAGCCATTAAGACGAACCTTTTGTGAGTGTGTGTAGTGTGAATGAGAGAAAGAGAGAAAGAGTGGTACGAGAAGAAGGGGATATGATGCGCGCGCAGATGGTATTGTAGAGTGTTAGAGATTCCAGTGAATGTGAGGTTAAGAGCGACGAGCCACGTGGCGAAAGATGCTGAGTTTATCCATTATATAATATATCATTAAATATATATATTTTTGTACCCTATTAGTGTAATAATGTTTTGTTCTTTTCTCTGATTCCCACACCTTTTACCTTCTTTTGACATTGGCTTTATTGGCCCAATCAAGTTCATGTACCACAGACCATTATTCC